TCCAGCCTTAACCCAAGTAATTTGCTGCCTTGAAGCATAGTAAAGGATTCTAATCACAGGTACTGAAGAAAAAGTCAGTCGTTTATCCAGATCAAATATGGCCATGGAGTCAGAAGATGGACAGCGCCTTTCACCTCAGGCAATAAAACACCCAAGCATCAGTTCTGAATTAGTATTATTCTAAAAGATTGGTTCCAGTGGTGGGTTTCAAAATTTTTTACTACCAGTTCTGTGGGTGTGGCTTGGTGGGCGTGGCATGGCTTGGTGGCCGTAGCAGGGGAAGGATATTGCAAAATCTCTATTCCCACCCCACTCCTGGGGAAGGATACTGTAAAATCTCCATTCCCTCCCCAATCCAGGGGAAGGTTACTGCAAAATCCCCATTTCCTCCTGATCGTCTGGGACTTGGGAGGCAGAGAATAGATAGGGGTGGGGCCAGTCAGAATTTTTACTACCAGTTCTCCAAACTACTCAAAATTTCCACTACTGGTTCTCCAGAACTGGTCAGAACCTGCTGAAACCCACCTCTGATTGGTTCTTTCAAGAAGTCTACCATCCTGACTGGAAAATGTTTTTAATAGTATAAGCAACTGAATAACCTGCTTGCCAGTTAAACCTAATGACTGATTTGCATTTTTCTTTCCATTCCTTTTTGGACTCCCAAGACGTACATATCTAATCCCAATTTTAAGTTTCTTTTGGCTTAGGGAGAAAAACATTATATATGTTTTGTATGCATGGACACGTAGACTAGCATACAAATTCTAGAAGAGAGAAGCCAGAGAGTAGGAATTGTGTGCTTGTGCACTATACTGGAGGGTGCCATTTGTACACATTGATAACTGGAAATTAAACAACTTTTTGGATATATATTGCCATATTTGTTTCTAAAATGTCATTGTCTTTAAGACTTGAAAATAAAATGACTGCCTATCATTGCATAAACTCTTCTACTTCTGTTTTATACAGCTTGGCTCCTTCTTTCTAAGAACTGAACCACACATTTTCTTGATCAAAAGTTTAGGATGTGTTGCATGGTGGATTTTACTACAGGAGTATTTGCCTGAAGTGTAGTTTGAGTATAATTTTCCACAAATTTCTGCTCTTTCCCACTCCCTCAAGTTCATTCAAAAAACTTTTTTTATGGACTTCTTAACTTCTCTCAAATAGCAAATAGACAGAAAAAGATATAAACAAAGAATCCACTTGATTTCATGCAATTGAATTGGTGGCAATTCAGCCTTGCAATTATTCTTATGGTTGTTGTTAGAAGAAGAGCTTAACTAGAGAAGTCGATAATTCTTGAGTGAAGGTTTTGGATTTCAAAAGGAGACACAATAGGGAAGAGAAAGTTTTATGAAAGTTTAGTTTTATCACCTTTTGTGCACTTCTTATTGCACAACATTTCATTGTTTTTGGTAATTATCTGCAGCTACCAATATATTTCTCAGAGGCACAGGAGTGTTCATTATCCCAGTTTGTTCATTCTTCTATGAAGTGCAAATAGTTGTAGCAATCAAAGCAAGTTATGAGTAGACTTTTCTTCCCCTTCACTGTTCTCCTTTCTTCATTCTTCTTACCCCAAGTGCTGGAATGCAGTTGAGTAATGTTGGTAATAAACTATTGGGTGTTAAGGCATTTCATTATTGTGACCATTGTAGGGATACTTTTCCTCCCTCTCAACACAAGACAGCTGCTCATTGGCTCATTGACAACCAACATTGGCTGCTCATTGTCATTAGACATTGCCCCATTAGCAAAAGGAGCTGATTGGGTTAGGGTTAGGGTTGGGACAACCATGACCTGGATGACTGAGCATCTCTACAGACTTTTAGCTATACATTTGTTTGTTTGTTTGTTTAGTTAATTAGCATATGGCAAATACATGGATTTATAGTAATTCAGATGTCAATGTCCAGTCCACCCAGCCATTTAAGGACAGGGTGGTCTACATAGAAAAAATCAGACATTGGGCTGGTGTAAGCTCCTGATGGACAGGACACAATGTGGTGGATATTTCATTGAGGAGCACCACAGTCACACTGAGGGGTAAAGACAAGACCCCACTTCTTCCACATGGTATTGTAAACTGCAGTAAGGTCGATGAACACAACTGTGGTTTTTAAGCCTTGCTGGAAACCAGCCTGATATGTCCTGTTAGTCATTTTGTTTATCCGTTGCCATGTATTTAGAGAGCCAGAAGTTCTACAAAGATGTCTGGCTACAAACGGTCATTAACTGTCAATTCTTCAATGTAGTCTGGCTGCCAGTTGTTGCTAGTCATTTGGTTCACACTACAGTGCTATGCAGGGTGCACCATGAGGAGGTGAACTACCATCACACCCCATTAGCTATACAATTTGGGATGAACACCCTTTGTTTGTTTTTTTTGTTTTTTTTCCGTTTTAAAAACAAACTTTATTAGATTTTAAAAAACCATAAAATTATATAAAACATTCACGACCAATATAATCAACAATATCAACAAACAACAAATAAGGTATATATAATGTATATAAGTACACATATATACAAGAACTTATTTACCCTTTTCCCCCCCTTAATGACGGTGTATAATTATTACTTTAAATTTCTTACTAAATTTTGACTTTACCTTCTTTTCCATTGGTTTATCCACTCATACCAATTGTCCCATATCTTAAAATACTGAGAGTCTTCCTTATCTTTCAATTTCAACGTTAGTCTATCCATTTCTGCACATGTGTAAATTTTTTGAGTTATTTGCTGCTCCGTTGGCAATTGATCTGTTTTCCAGACTTGTGCTAGAGCAAACCTAGCTGCTGTAATTATATGTAATATTAGGTACTTTTTTCCCTTTCTAATGTTTTGTTTAAGCATTCCTAACAAAAAAATTTCTGGTTCTAGCTCAATATCCTCTGCAATTATTTCTGATATCCAAATTTTTATTTTTATCCAATATTATTTAATTTTTGGGCAAAGCCACCAGACATGAAAGAAGGTTCCCTGTGCTTGCTTGCATTTCCAGCATGTTGGATTAAGGTTTGCATACATCCTCGCCAATCTCGCAGGGGCTAGATACCATCTATACCACATCTTGTAGTGGTTCTCCTTATATGTTACGGATTTTGTTATTCTATAGTTGGTTTCCCATACCCTTTCCCATTCTTCTAATTGTATATTTTTGCCAATGTTCCTTGCCCATGCTATCATTTGGGGATGAACACCCTTTGAATGGGGTGGGAGTAGGATTTCCAGAGGAACAAATGGCAGTCTACAGGAACCAGGAACACTACTCAGGTGACCTTCAGGACACAGATAAACCTCCAAATGCTTCAATGATCATCCAAAAGGATACAAATGACCAGCTGTCTATAAGGAATATAAATCCTTCCATTCCCTACTATCCTGTCAGAGCTGAAGAAGCTTCTTGGATTGAAGCAAAACACCTTCAAAAGAAAAAAACAAGATAGTCCAGTTGCCTCCTGAAAAAGCACCTTTGGGACAACCATGACTTGGATGACTGAGAATCTCTACAGACTTCCGTCTTCCAGTACTTAAGAGGGTTGAAGAGAAGAGGGGCTCAACGTATTCTCCAAAGCAGCTAAAGGCAAGACAAGAAGTAAAGTGGAAGATCATCAAAGAGAGATCCAACCTAGAACTAAGGAGAAATTTCCTGACAAAACAATCAATCAGTGAAATGGCTTGCCTCCAAAATTTGTGGGTGGAGGTTTTTCACAAGGAAATTGGACAACCATTTGTCTGAAATGGTATAGGCTCTCCTGCTTGAGCAGGAGGTTGGACTAGAAGACCTCCAAGGTCCCTTCTTCATGTTCTATGTTCTATCTTTTATGTTCTATGATCATCGAGCCAGAATAGAATGAGGGCAATGCTTCCTTTTGTTATATTAGAGCAGGGGTATTGTGATGCTACAGCATTGCGGGCCATATGTGATGTATCAGCCATATCAGGAAGTATTGGGATGTTTTTTGCCTTTGTGGAGCTGGGGTGGCCATGGCCTGCATAGGCCGTATCCGGCTCATGGGCCACCAGTGTCGGGGTTCAACATGGTACAGGGTACAGGGCAGAGGTAGGATTCAAATAATTTAACAACCGGTTCTCTGCCCTAATGATTTCTTCCAACAACAGGTTCACCAAACTGCTCAGAAAGTTAACAACCAGTTCTCCCGAAGTGGTGAGAACTGCTGAATCCCACTATTGTTCAGGGTACAGGGTACGAAAGATGGCTTCCAGGCCTGACAGCCAGTTCGACAGGCCTGTATTAGAGGGGAAGACAACCAACAACAACACAGACTGCAATCCACAGGTGGGGCAAATCATTTATCATTGTCAGAAAATGTTATCTCTATGTCTATTATCACATGAAAAATATACCAACAAAGTTTTCCTTATCACTAAAGAAAAAGAAACACAATCCTCACTTCCTTTACAACTTTATGCTCAGCAGGACTTTCCCAATGGATGCATGTGATTAAACAATTAAGTATTATTGGAAACCCAATAATGGTTAATAAATCAAATCTTTTTTATCTCCACTTAACACCAGATGTTGTGAATCGTAATGAGCAATTCTGCCACAAGGACTTTAGGCAAAGACTGGATGATTGCATGTTATGTAAACAAGTTTATTTTAGGAACTTGTAGGCTTTGCGTGCTGTACTTAAACTACATTTGTTCTGGTTCCATAATGATCCTTTGATTCCATCTAATAATGAGCAAAAGACCATGCAGGGTACATAGTATAAATGGTTTGTTTCCATAGGAATGAGCTGAGACCACATCTTCTTTTAACAGCAGTGAACAGTGCAAATGTGGAACAAAATATTGGGGGGAGTATAATCTAGTGGAATGAAATATCAAAATGTTCAAAAGTGCTTCAACCTTTTCAGCTGAAAAGAAGAGTTTATAAAACCTAATAATTGTACTTAGGAGCATCCCAGCTGGCCTTCGGCAAAAGAGTAACCCCCCCACCTTAAATTGATTTATACTACAGTACAGTATTCAGTAGAAGATGGACTTTAAATCACCTGGGATTGACTTGTGCATAGTAGCCACTGAGGGTAGTTGCTTAGGACTAATTCAAATTTTGGGCTCTGCCTTGTTTGAAATTGATTCAGAAGTGCTTTAGATCATGTGACTACAATTATAGCTCTTTCTTCTATCCACTGAGGCAGCCTTGCCCTTTTTTTCAAGTTTTCACATGAGTATGAAAGATGCTGAAGCTTTAAGAATCACTTTGATGAGTCAGTTCTTTAAATCAGCCATGTCTTCTTTTCCAGGTTCACTTAAAGTATGCAAATTCTGTAAATGAAACAAGACAACAAAACTTCATACCATGTTTTCATCTTCCCTTTGGAAAGATCCAAACTTGTTCAACTTCCTGTGAAACATCAGTATGGCCTGAAGTCATATGTTACACAAACAGGTGTCAATATTAAGTTTTATTGCACCCTGCATAAAAAATGGAGTTGGGGAACTATTTTCTTAGGCAGAATGAGACAAATTGCTTATAGAGGTCAAGGAGAGATAGCAGCCTCTGTCTAAGCTGTTTTGTTGAATGTCAGAGTAATATGATGCCACAAAGCTTATTTTGAGGTTTCAAAATTATCCCACTATCTCATTTATAATAGAGAAAGTCAGCCATCAACTGCCAACCCAATAAGTATCTATACATCCTTTGCTCCATGTAGTGGCGCATCATCTTAATAATTTGATATTGAGTTGATACTGAGTTGATATTTTTTAATATCAGTTTTTAATATTTTAACATTAAATTGATATTTATTTTCATTTATTTCATTTGTTGTTGATAATATTGATTCTTAGAAAGATTAAGGAAAGATTGGAGAAAAAAAAAGAAGGTATATCAATTACTGTTTGCCAGAACAATAGCGATGCCCCCAATTTTAAGAGGGAAAACAATTCCAAATACCTATTGGGGAGAAACCATAAAGGAAGCCCATGTTAGATGATAGTGATGATGATTATTCTGCTTGTGAACACATACTAGAATAGATGTTATGTTTTATCTTTCTCTCTCCCACCATATTGTCACAATCATATTTAGACCCATCATGAATGCATTAAAATGAATAGAATAGAATAGAATAGAATAGAATAGAATAGAATAGAATAGAATTGAATTGAATTGAATTGAATTGAATTGAATTTTTATTGGCCAAGTGTGATAGGACACACAAGGAATGTGTCTTGGTGCATATGCTCTTAGTGTACATAAAAGAAGTTCGTCAAGAATCATAAGGTACAACACTTAATGATAGTCATAGGATACAAATAAGCAATCAAGAAACAATATCAATATAAATCGTAGATGATATACATGAAAAGCATAATTCAGATGTATACTAAAATTTCAGATTTACTAATTACCTCTATGTATTATGATAAAAGAAATTAAAAAAAAAAAGAGCCGAGGTGGTGCAGTGGTTAGGGTGCAGTACTGCAGATACTTCAGCTGACTGCTAGTTCAGCAGATCAGCGAATCAAATCTCACCGGCTCAAGGTTGACTCAGCCTTCCATCCTTCCGAGGTGGGTAAAATGAGGACCCAGTTTGTTGGGGGCAATATGCTATTTAGTATACTGTCTTTGGTGTAAGCCGCCCAGAGTCCTCGGAGAATGGGCGGCATAGAAATATGAATAATAATAATAATAATAATAATAATAATAATAATAATAATAATAATAATTTTATTTCTATACTGCCCTTCTCCCGAAGGACTCAGGGCGGTGTACAGCCAATTTAAAAACACAGGACACAACAATAATTAAAAAATAAAATAATTAAATAGATTTGGCCAATTTAAAACCCCAAAAATTTAAAATACCCCAATTTAAAATTATTATGTTGATAGCCCTGCCTGGCAGAACAACAGGGTCTTCAATGCGCAGCGAAACACCCGGAGGTCGGAGATCTTACGTATTTCTGGGGGCAGTTCATTCCACAGGGCTGGGGCTCCCACAGAGAAGGCCCTCCCCCTGGGTGTCGCCAGCCAACATAACTTGGCTGAAGGCACCCTGAGGAGACCCTCTCTGTGGGAATGGACTAGTCGGTGGGAGGCTATTGGTGGCAGAAGACAGTCTCGAAGGTACCCGGGTCCTATGCCATGGAGCGCTTTGAAGGTGGTAACCAACACCTTGAATCGCACCCGGAAGACCACTGGGAACCAGTGCAGCTCGTGCAGGAGGGGTGTCACGCGGGCACGAGTTGTGCCCATAACCACCCGCGCGGCCGCATTCTGGACCAGTTGGAGCCTCCGAGTGCTCTTCAAGGGGAGCCCCATGTAGAGAGCATTACAATAGTCCAGCCGGGAGGTGACAAGGGCATGAGTGACCGTGCGCAAGGTGTCCCGGTCCAGAAAGGGCTGCAACTGGTGGATCAGGTGAACCTGATAAAAATAAAATATTTCTATTCAGCTTCATAATAATGTCTATTGTTAACTTACTGTATAGTATTCTTAAAACTTTAGACTTTAGCCAAATTTTAGACTCCCATATTAAAACTTGGATTTATCACCTTTCTGTACTGTACTGGAGACACCATGAACACTCTTGTGCAAAGTGCTTCTAATTTCTCTCTTCAAGATGAAGCCATTTTCAGCCTGTGTTGTAGAAGCACTGTGGGGTTGGCTATACAATCTTTTCTCCTCAGTTGCTTCACCCTCTGATTCTTCTGATTACATGTTCCATGCAAAAGACAAGAACCACAAAATGTGTGAGAAAAACCTGATGCTCTAAAATGTCTAGGAGCCACAACTCCCAGAACTGGCTATAGAAAATGTGAAGATTTGTAATCCAAACATAGACGATGGGTACTAGCCTGAGGAAGGCTATAGTAAGCCAACAGGAATTTTAGATAATCTTATAGCAGAAATAAGATACAGAAAAATCATCCAATGCAAACATAAAACAATTCAAATCAGACCCGAGTAATTAACAAATGATTCTTTAATAACATGACAGCTGTATTCCCCAAGCTGAAAAGATAATGAAACAATTTACTTTTACATGATGTAAATTACAGCATAAATTTATTTTTGAATGTCAAAAAACAAAATAAAATAGGGTAAAAAAAATATTACACATTATTATATTGACAGGTGATTATTGAAGATTGGAGTATGGATTTTTATAACCAGTTTTTAGAAAGACGGTGCTGGAGGGGGCTAATTTTTTTTTAAAGCTGATGTTTTCTTCACATGCAGTGAAATTGTATTAGAACCATAGTTGGGCAACTCACACTTCAGAGGGATATTATTCACACTGCTATTTAGAATTATATTTATACACAGACACACACACTTCCCATTCTCTCATTCTTGGTGGCTGTTTCAGTTGGTGCCTGTTGGGTGAAGGAACAATATCTTTTCATGTAGCAGAATAATTTCCAGCTATTTTTTCACTCATTATAAGGCTGAATAATTGTGCTTTAAACACATTAATTCATTATTGCTGTTAGGGAAGATTTGCAAGATGGAATCTTGCCATTCAACCAATTGCTTATGACAAATAGAAAAATCTGGATAATTCTCAATTCTGTTTTGTTTTAAAGTTACTGATGTTTAACTGGCAGACTTTGAGTTGTGTTAATCAACTGGTATTAGCCAAAGTATTAGTTGCTATAACAATGATTTATTTTGAACAGTTGTTGGATGGAACAGTAATGAAATACATATTTCAAATGTTAAAACTCACCTTTCTAAACCACTTTCAGGGAATTGTTAGTGAATTGTTTGTCAGAAAGCGATCTCAAAATATATCTGGCAGATTCTGAATTTGTGGCAAATGTTTCAGTTTCTAGCTGCAACTGTAGTTTAAAATTTGTGGTTTCTTATCTGACCTCATATTGTTCTATTGCGGCCTGACAGTTGAGTTTTGCAATTTTTTCTCTCTTCTTCCCACTTAAGTAATTTTTTCAGCACAAAGCTATATCAAATGACTCTGTGAAATAGGACAATTAAAGTTATACGAGTGTAGCATTTATATATCATGTAAAAATGACTCACGAAAGAAAAAGTGTCAGTAGATCAGTGTTTCTCAAACTTAGCAACTTTAAGACACATGGACTTCAACTCCCAGAATTCCCCAGCCAACATAGCAGATTAAAAATTAATCTACTATCAACTCTCTTTGCACCCCTGGAGTGCTAAAAGCGTTTCCTAGTAACGTTAATTAAATCTGGTGTTGTTCAAATCTAACCGTATATTTGCACAATTCATTTTTGACCAGGATTAGGTATGGAATTTAGATTTCTAACATATGTGCCTTACATATTTCATGCCAACTAGCAAAAGTGCCAGCAGATGAAATAAAGAACTGAAACTGTCTCAAACTAATAACATTCAACTGTTGTGTTCCCCTTGCAATAGAAGTCTGTAATATTTAAGGAATGAAAACAGACCTGACTTTAGGCAATAAAATGCTATTATGCTTACTCTATCCTTACTCTATAACCGAAACTCAAAACCTGACAGTCTTCTTGGTCCTGTGTTATAAACTGGGCAGCTAGGCCGGAAGAGAAATGGAAGTTTGCTCAGTGACTTTGAGAAAACCACAAACCATCTCAAATGCTTTATCGAGTATATATCCCCACCACTACAAAGTGGTTTGTCTTATCTTTCTGTCCTTTTAACAGAAGGAGATCAAGATTCAGGAATAAACTACAAAACTCCTCTTTTTGGTTGGCTAGTCTGAGGGGTCCTTCTGAAAATGAAATAGTGCAGGTGGTTCCCTGAGAAAGGATCTTATTAACTGTAGCATCTAGTTTCTGGATGAGCCTCCTCAGATTGGCTCATCTCATCTTTATACCCATGTTTCCCCGAAAATAAGACCCTGTCTTATATTTTTTAGAACCCTGAAATAAGCGCTTGGCCTTATTGCCATGCGCTCAAAAGCCCGATTGGGCTTATTATCAGGAGATGTCTTATTTTGGGGAAAACAGGGTAGCTATTTTGGCATCAAATGAAGACTGCAAAAAAAAAAGTCTGCTATCTTATTCTGTTCATATACTTGTTTAGTTATTACCTTTATGTTCTTTCTTCTAGAATATGTGCAATTCATAGTGTAATGTTTAAGCTACTGTAATCATATCTAGAATATGTTGCTATATAAGCAATGTAAATAACTGCCTTTTTAGGATCTTGTAATCCCTTAATTCGGGGTAGAGTCAGGGCAACTGGATGAAGCTGAGGATTTATTGGCTGGATGCTGTTTCTGACACCGATGTAAATAAATGAATGAATCCATTTTAAAAAGAGTACAGCGGAGTTAAACAAAACAATCATCTTGAGAAATATGCATATCCAAGCAAAATTAAAGTTTCCAATAGAAAGAATTAAAGTCTTTGGTTTCTTCAGAAGGGTCTGAATCCTGTCCCATAAAAGGAAGAACTCAGCTGACCTTATTTATTCTGCAAATGCTGAACAGCGTTGGATCTCATTAGTTCTTGGATGAAAAATCACCAGGAAATACCATGGCTGTAGACTAGTTGACGTCAAAAAATACCAGTAATGGCAAAGTACTTTTATACTATTACCAACAAAGTAATTTATACATACATACATACATACATACATACATACATACATACATACATACAAAATGATACCAAAAGCTGAGATCAATTCAAAGGTTTTATTTTTTCATCTAAATTGTATTTGGGAAAAAAATGAACTGTGAAACACTTCAGACATTGCTAAATTTTGTTCCCAGTGCAGAGACCAATTCCTGCTGTATTTAATATTTCCAACTAACTGTGGTCTTTAGTCTATTTGCAAATGATGCCCTCCATACAAACATGGAGGTATAAACTTGGGGTTAGCAGACTATCAACAACCATTATAATAATGTTTTAAGACACATAAAAATAGATTTTGGCTCAGATAATCATTTCATTTCATCTTTGTATTCCTACAAGTAGCCTACAATATATTTTATCCTACAATATATTTGTATTTGGGTTTGCTTTTACTTTTTATGTCTTTGGTGATTTGGTTTTGCAAACCACTTGGGGTTTGCTGTCTCTTTCCATCCCACTTTGGTTTCCCTTCTCCAATGTGCTTGTCTGCTGAATTGATTCCATCTCTCATGAAGCACAGATGGTACATAAAGTAGAAGAAAAATAAATAAAAACTATTCTTCTTAATTCATTTATGTAGAAAACCAGCTTCCATATTATGCCATTTATGTAGAAAACCAGCTTCCATATTATGGGGTGACATTGAGGGGTGTAGCACAGTTGATATACACATTGCAGTAACTTTTCATGAGCAATTTTACATAGGAAATACCATTGCCCTGTTGATGCTTGGTCAAAGCAAACTGACTCACAAAAGATTTAAGGAAGTGATCTGATTATAAAATAAGGCTGCTGAAAAAGGTAATAATACTTATCTATCTGTGTCATTTCTAATGATGAATTTAAAAAATGAAAAAATACGTTATAGCTAAGTTATCTCTGGCATCTTGTCTTCAAACCATCAAATAGATCAAAAGGATATTTCAGGCATAACCAAATCAAGTTCAGTGACTGTATGCTAAGGCAAATTTCTTTTTTTAAAAAAAATAGAGAACCTTTCTAGGCATTCACAGGAAAGCCATAAAGGATCTATAAATCAATAGTTTTTTTTTTAATGATTTGCAAAGAATTTAAATTTTGAGATTTACTGCCACTGCAAAATCATTCTGAATGAATATCTAGTTGAGATCCAGTACAGTTAAATCTTCAGCCATAAAAACATTTGCATCATGTCTATCCTCTAGGGTTTTTGTTGCTTACTTTATAGAAATAATTATAACTTTAATCTATTATAAGAAGGAATGATGCACCAAAAAAAATCTTCCCTAAAGTATGAATCATGGTATTTATCAGTCCTTTATTGCAGGGATCCCCAAGCCCAGATCTGTGGCCTGTGCCTGATTCCCACTTCAATGGTAGAGAAAACAATTGTATCATCAGGAAACAGTTACAAGAAAACTAGAACATATCTGTTGGTCAATATTTTATTGGAGAATTGGTATAAAAGTTAAAAAGGAGAAGAGCCAAGATACATCCTTTCTTCATTGCTTTCTGAATAGAGACTGAGGATATAAAATAACGTAAGGCGTTACAATGGACCTGCACCAAAATATTTGTATGCAATTATGCAGTTTCTTAACAGGGGTGGGTTCTACTTACCTTTACTACCAGTTTGCAATGGGATCACGCAACAGGAAGCTTCTGCGGATGCGCAAATTGCCAATGATAACATCTGGGGTGGTGGGCGGGACCTCCCCTCGGTTTTACTACCAGTTCTTGTGAACTGGTCCGAACCAGGGGCAACCCACCACTGTTTCTTAGGCAGAAGTTGTCAAGTTTAATAGAGGAGCCAGAAAATTTCTCCCATAGGCTGTTCTGGGGTTTGAATTAAAAGCTGCCTTAGAAATCAATGAAGGAAACAAAATAATGTTTTTGGTATGTGGGAGGAGGGGTGTTACTGGTTTGAATTGCTTTTAGCTCTCTGAAGTCACCTGCTTGAGATAAGCAGCCATATATATAAATCTAAATTAAAAAAAAAAGCAATCACCCCTAGGATGATTGATATTTTTTCTTAGAAGATGGAGGGCAATGCAGTGATCAAATCTTGGCTGCCTTTCCCTAAATATGCCTTACTCCTCTGCCTGGATGTTCAGTTTGACCTTAATTGGCTTTGAGAAAACTGTGACACAAATCAAGCAACAGGCTTTTAGCAATGATATCTAGAAAGATCGAAACACTTTCCCAATTTGTATGGGGTGGATCTGTTTGAAAGAATTCCAATTAGCTAATGTACTATGTTCAATTCACAGGAGAGCCCTCACGGTTCCTAGATTCAATGTTTTGCCATCTTT